AGTCAATATCATACTGAATGGAGAAAATCTAAAAGTATTTCCTCCAAAATCAGGAACAAGACCAGGATATCCACCACTTCTATTCAATATAGTTCTCAAAACTCTAGCTAGAGCAATTAAGCAAGAAACGTAATTAAAGGGATACCAATAGGAAAAGAAGCCAAACTATCTCTTTTTGCTAATGACATGACCCTATATCTAGAAGACTAAAAATACACTACAAAAAGACATCAAGAGCTGATAAAAGAATTCAGCAAACAGCAGGATACAAGATCAATGCTTACAAATCAATAGCTTTCCTATACTTCAACAGAGATTATCCTGAAAAAGAAATTAGGAAAACCATCCTTTTCACAATAACCTTAAAAATTTTTTGCAAACTAATCAAGAAGGTGAAATATCTCTAAAATGAAGATTATAGAACACTGAAGACAGAAACTGAAGATCTTAGAAAATGGAAAGACAACCCATGTTCTTGGACAGAATAAGTATAGTCAAAATGGCCATACTACCAAAAATAATATACAGATTCAATTCAGTCCTCATGAAAATACCAATGACATTCTTCACAGAACTAGAAAAAAAGTCCTAAAATTCATTTGGAAGAATAAGAGATCCAGAATAAACAAATTTTCAGCAAGAAGAATGATACAGAATGCATCACAATACCTGATCTCAAATTATACTACAGAGCTATAGGACAAAAACAGTATTACTGGCATCTAAATAGACATGAATACCGATAGAATAGAACACACAAAGATAAAACCCATACTTAAAGTCACGTGATACTTGACAAAAGTACCCAAAATATATACTGATGAAAAGATAGCCTTTTAAACAAACGCTTCTGGGAAAACTGGATATCCATATGTAGAAGAATGAAATTAAATCCTCTAACCCTGCACAAAAGTCAAATCAAGATGGATCAAAGACTTAGGAATTAAACAAGAAACTTTGCAACTTCTACAAGAAAACACAGGGTCCATACTCTATTCCATTTGTGCAGGCACTGACTTCCTCAACAAGATCTCTAAAGTTTAAGAAGTAAAATCAAGAATCATAAGTGGGATGCCATCAAATTAAAAAGTTTCTACACAGCAAAAGAAATGATTAAGAGTGAATAAAGAGCATTAAGAATGGGAGGAAATCTTTGTCAGCTGCTCCTCTAACAGGGTATTGTCCAGAATATCCAGAATCTATAAAGAACTCAACAAAAAAACCTTAACATCAAAAAAACAACGTAAACAACACATGGGCAAAAGAAAGACAGACATTTCACAAAAGAACACAAAGGCCCTATAAATAAATGAACAAATGTTCAACATCCCAAGCAATCATGGAAATACAAACTAAAACACTAAGATTTTATCTCACTCCAGTCAAAATGGCAATTATGAAGAACATAAGTAATAAAAAATGCTGGTGAGGATGTGAGGGAAAAGGGACATTCATACATTATTGTTGGGACTGCAAATTAGTAGAACCACTCTGGAAAGCAGTATGGAGATTCCTCAAAACGCTAGGAATGGGACCACCATCTGACTGAGCTATCCAAAAGAACTAAAATCAGCATACTATAATGATACAGACACATCAATGTTTACAGCAGCACAATCCACAATAGCCAAATCACAGCATCACTCCAGATGTCCATCAGTAGATGAATGTATCAAGAAAATGTTATATATAAACACAATGGAGTTTTACTCAGCCAGAAAGAATAAAATTGTGGCATGTGCTGGTAAATGGATGGAAATGGAGAATATGCTAAAAGAAATAAGCCAGACTCAGAAAATCAAGGATTCAATGTTTTCTCTCATACATGGAACCTAGAACAAAATAAAGGAAAGAAGACAAAGAGTGGGGAAATCAGATGTCACAATGATATAGGGAAGACTGGTGAAGTAGAAAGAGATCAAAAATGAGGGAGGAAGGACAGGAAAGGGGAGAAAAATGGAATGAATTTGAAAAGAAAATCACATTACATGCAAATGTGAATATACCACAGGGAATTGCACCTTTATGAATATGTAGAAAGTACCAATCAAGAATAAATAAATGAGCAAAAGGAAGATCTGTAGCAAAAGGAGAGTGGGGAGGTTAGGGAGTGAAAGGGGGAAGGAAATGTGGATTGAAATTGAATGCCATGCATGTATGATTTTTGTCAAAAAGAACCCAACTACTATATATAACTATAGTCGTCTAATTTTTAAAAACTTTTTGAAGTTAACAAGAACGATTCTGTTTCAGGGAATATACCCCAAAGAATTGAAAGCAGGGATTCAAATAGATATTTATATACCCATGTTCATAGCAGCATTACTCATAATAGTTGTCTTGATCCCTCTTCTGTTGCTATAACTGTACCATGGCTTGGGTGATTTCATGCTTCTGGAGGCCTGGAAGCCAAAGAGCATGGCACTACATCTGCTCAGCTTCTGGTGAGGACCTTCTGCTGCAATGGTAGAAGGCATCACATGGTGAGAGTGAACAATGTGCTAGCTTGGATCTCTTTTCCTCATCTTATAAAGCCACTAATCCTATCATGGGAGTTTTTGTTTAATGGGGACAAGGTTTCAGTTTTGCAAGACGAAAAAGCTCTGGAGATAGACAGTGGTGATGGTTACCACATATTGTGTATGTACTTAATATCTAGGACTTTAAACTTAAAAATGGTTCCAATAGTAAATTTCATATTACATATATATTGTATCATTAAAAAAAAAAAAAGAAGAGCAAAGAGGCCTCCATGTTGAAAAGAGAATACCAGTGGCAGGTCCCTGGGCTTCCATCACTGGTCATCTTGCAAAAGAGCCTCTCATGTGAGGAGATGTGTGGGTCCATCAAACAGCCCAACACAAAGACTGCCCTCAAAGCCCTGCTGAAAGAACCTCTGTTTTAGAGCACAGCAAGTCTGAGCAGCATGAACAAGACAGAGGGAGCTTCCCAAGGGCAGAGAAGTCAGCCTGGTAAGTCAGTCTGACAAAACAGGGGCTCATTCCCTCCACCAGCAGGGTCACCATGGTGCTCCTCAGGACTAAGGTCATCAACATGCATTTCCTTGTGCAGTTAGGGAAGAGGCTTGGGCCAATGGTCATGGTCCTGCCAATGACATCCTGTGTGACCTGGTAGTGTCCACAGTCTTGGGCCTTCTTCAGCCTCTGGGAAATGGCCTGTGGGTCCCCTCCCCACAAGATGAGACTCAGTCCTGGTGTCCTCTGTGCAAGCCACAGCACGCCACTTAGCCCTCCAGCCACCACAGCCCCAGCTAGATGATGGCCAGGACTAGACTGTGGTAGGAAAAGAACGCTCATCCAGCTTTTCTTCTATCTCCTACCCACAGCCTCACCCAATCCACCTTTAGAACCCCAGAGGACCCTTAGAGCAACACCCCAACATGGACAAAGAGCTGCCACATGCAGACCTTGTATACCCCAAGCTACTCTGAGGCCCCTCTCTAAGTCTGTCACAATCAATTTCTTTCCCAGAAGTTGGATCCCTGTATACAGAGCTCATCACCCCAGTCATACAAGGGCACCTTCAGCTTGGGTCATTCCACCCTCAATCTGGGCGCTTTGCTTCCCCACTTTTTGGTGGTCCTACTCCTAAAGGTAAAGGCCCCACCCCTCTGGATGTCTTAGCTACCCCTCCCTCACCATACCCTTTCCACATCTTCATCTGCTGAGAGCCACGGCTGAGTCTGTATGGCCCCTGGCATTTTGCCAACAGTATTGATTGACAGGCAAGGCATTACTATCCGCCTCTGCCGCAACTTTTGAGTTCTTGCACTATTTTGGAGTTCTCCTGGGGATTTCCGGGGATTCCCCGAGAGTTCCCATTGGTTGGGGAAGTGCAGGAGGAGGGATTTTCCGGGAGAGATATTTCCGGCTGGGGGTTCCTGGACAAGCCTCGTGGCGTTCAGGACGATTCCCCGGGAGCTGTGTGAAGTGTTTTCCTGCAGTTTAAAAATAAAGTTTGTTCCTGCTTCAGTGGCTCGTGATTTGTGCCCAGCCAGACTGCGGCATTCATCCACATCTTTATGACTTCTCCTCTCCCTGCTCCAACCATATCAAACCACCTACCCTCTCCAAATGGTGCCAATGTACCTTTACCTCTGGGTCTCCACCTACTATGCCCACTGAGTGACCTCCCCACCCCTGATGTGGCCAGCACGCACTTCCTCTCTAATCAAGGGTTCACTCTTTTACAAAGACGTCCATACTTCAGGACAAGCACCAACCAGCCCACCACCTGAGTGCCAGTGGTTCCTGCAGATATTTCTATGGCAGCACAGATGTTTTACTTGCTAAGCTACAGTCTTCCAAGGGAAAGGCCTTTTGTGCATTTGTATCCCTGGTACCTAACACCATGCCAAAGATTTTAGAAGGTCTTCAAAAACACTTTCTGGGCAAATGGATCAACACGTGGAAGGTGAATGCCTTCAAAGCTAATATTTTGGGAGGCATCCCCTCCCCTCACTTATCCATCATGTAAAGGAGGTTTCTCTCTATCCCTATCCAACAAACTGGATTCAGACATAGGCTCTGTGACTCCTTTTTGGCTCCCTCAACTAAATGGCCTCTCTTCTCTCTTCCTGTAGGCTCGTGCAACATAAAGAAAGTTAAAATTTGATTGTGATTTCTTGCACTGGATTGTATATTTAGAGCATGGGCTGGGACTTGATTCTGAATGTCTCTGGAACAGGGTATTACACAGAGTAAGGATCTTGGGAAGCCTTCTGGTGACCAGAGGTGCAATCACTGAGTAGATTAGACACTTAAATACCTCAGGGGAGGACAGGTGGGCTAACGCTCTCCCTCAGGATGCCCACCACTCTTGCCTGCTGAGATGCCCAGAGACCAGAAGGCAACAGGTTCCAACCCCCAAGCCAGCTGCTTCTTCACCCAAGGCGGGCGAGGATGTTACACCTACTTCCAGGGCACTACTCAAGGAGAAAACAGAGCCCACAGGTATGAGGACCCCAACTCCAGACTCACCATGTTCATGACAGTGAGGATGAACCTCTGGGCAGCCTCTGCCCCGTGGTACTGCACCATGTCAGCATCAGCCACCACCAGGGTCTCCACCGTGTGCTCGTTGGTAAGCCGTATAGCGTTCCTCCGCTCCCGCCAGTCCCGGGACAGCCTGCCCTTTCTGGGCTTCTTCTTTTCTAGAAAATGGAGACATTTGTGCAGTCCTTGGTTTACTGATTTCTAAAATCCTACAGTGAAAAGGCCTTCCATGGAGCTTCCCCAAGAGAATGGTCAGTCTCCACTGGCCACTGATGGGACCAGCAGCCACAGATCTCTGTGGTCACATGGATGAACCTTAGTACACCAGGTAAGGGTGGCACTGACTGAGCAGAAGGGAAAGAGACAGGGCTTATCCCGTCCACTCCTATAGCCAAGGAAGTGCATGGGGCTGAAAGTCAGAAGGGACACATCCCCTTCAGAGGAACATGGAGAGCATGCATTGTGCAGAGGGAAAGGAAGCGTGGACCCAGTGAGGAGGGATCCGAGAGTCCTCATGTCAACAACACAGAACTGGGGAAAGCATCTGAAAGGTAACCCCCACACCAGCTATCTTAAAACTGGAACCAAGGAAGCAGGGGCTGAGGGTGATATTTTTATCCATTAAAGAGCCCACTTCTGACTGCTCAAGGTTGCTAGGTAAGGACTGTAATTGTACATGGAAATACCTTTGGCCAAAATGACAAGTTGATACAAATAAAACACACTTTAAGGAGACAACTGTGAACAGGAGTACAGGTCTTCAAATTGATAGTCTTTATTTCCTTTTTGACAGTAGACTACATGGCTGCACCTCTGCTACATTGTACGTGAAGAAAGACAGTCTAAATGTACACCCACAGGCTTCATAGTAACCCAACCACTCTAGAAACAAAAAAATGGATACCATCATATAATCTGAGTTACGGATCATAATTTACAAATAAGAATGTGCTGTTCAATGTACAGCCATGAAACAGTAGAAAGAAATCAAAATACCTAGCCATACAGAAAGCTGGCAATGATAAGAAGATATATGGCCATGAAAATCATGTCTGTAAAGATTTAGTAATAAAAAGAGATGATATAAAGAGACATAGATATAAATCCATATATACAGTGAGAGCTCAATTTTGCAAAAACACAATATGTACAAGTATTTCCAGGCCTGAGAGAGAAATTAAAAAACACCAAAGAGTCTCTGCTCTCCTCCTCTCCTCTCTCTGCTCTCTGCCTCTTCTTTCCTTCTCCTTCGAGCAACCCCCCCAATAAAATCTCTTGACTGAAAAAAATAAAAATAAAAAACACCAAAGAAGAACTAAAATGTTAATTTTACTATGTAGACTTCAGTTTCCCTTTTTTTCCCTCTATATATTCTAAAATAATACAATAAACATGAAGTACTTTAGTCAAAGAAATACCATTGAGTTTGAGAAAAACACAGAAGTCACTTTTAAACTCTAAACAATAAAATAAAGCATGAGGGAGCAAATTATGTCATCTGACCTATCACAAAATTGCAAATGAAAGAGGTGAATGTGCATGCCTTGACAAACCTCCCTTCTCAGAGCCTATAAGCCAGGCCCACCTCCCATCAAGCCCCTGATCCTCTGCAGTGGAATAAGAAAAGGAAGGGTCAATTCTTAGATGAGAGGTGAGATCTTAGATGATATTTCCTTGCATATGGGCAGAATGAAAGAGGCCCCAAATATAAAAACCTATCAGCCTACACCCCCATTCTCCAGACTATCACTGAACACTGGTAAGTAAAAACACAGGTAATGCCCGAATTCTGGTGTCTGTGTGTTTACCAGGCACAGCTTCTGGGATCTGGCCAACCTATCCAACCTGGAATTTGTGAAGAGTCCCCTTGCCTCTACTTGAAAGCAGCAGAGATAACAGGCCTCTCAAGCAAGATCTTTGTTGTAACCAGCACACCCACATTCTCGCAAAGGACCACCACAACCCAAATGGCAGTCACAGATCATCTCAAGGTCAGTATTTACAACTCATCTCTTAATATTACCAACTCATGTTCCCATCTGCAGATGTTGCCCCAACAGCAGTTCAGTGTGTATTCCCCAACCTTGTCATGAATTTCCAGACTTTGGTTCAGAAAGAGCTATAGTTTTAGCACAGCCTTAAGAATGCATCAATATACTACTCTAGGAGGCAGCAAGCAAGAACACAGGAGAACTGTGTGCTCTCTAAGAAAAGTAGCTCCTCACTCCCAGACCACAGGAGCAAGTTGCTCCTAAATGTTTCACATGTCAAAATCCTGTACTGTGTGTCAGATTTTCAAGTCCACAAAGTAGGAATAATAAGACCCATTTCTCCCACCCTAATAGACCTAGGAGAGCTAATATAATACGGTGTCACAGGGTTAAAAGCTGTGAATTAACCTAGGCCCCGACCATAGCAGGTGAGTAATGAACAGCAGAATATTAAATAGCAGATTAACCTAAGCCCTGAGTGCTGAATAGCAGATGAGTACTGAGTAGCAGAGTACAAAGTAGCAGGTTAACCTAGACCAAGTACAGAGTAGCAGGTGAAACACAGTGGTATGGTTTCTGTGGCCTTGAAGGGTTTTCACTATGACATACTTGCTTCTGTTGTTGCCCTCAGCCCCTGGCACCATGCTTGGTCAGAAATACTCACTGAATGAGGGCTGTGGCTGTGGCTCAGTGGTAGAGCACTTGCCTGGCATGTGTGAGGCACTGGGTCCGATCCTCAGCACCACATAAAAATAAAGATATTGTGTCTATATACATCTAAAAAATAATTTAAAAAAGAAATAATGAATGAATATGTGTAGTAAAATGAATAAAAGAGAATAAATAAATATGTCCACTTAGTAATAGCCTCACATTAGTGCAGGTCAGGTCTTGCCACAAAACGAGTGTTAAAAATCCTGTATTTTAAATATTTTAAATACTGTATTTTAAATCCTGTATTTTAAATATTTTAAATACTGTATTTTAAATCCTGTATTTTAAATATTTTAAATCCTGTATTTTAAATACAGGATTTTTAACACTCGTTTTGTGGCAAGACCTGACCTGCACTAATGTGAGGCTATTACTAAGTGGACATATTTATTTATTCTCTTTTATTCATTTTACTACACATATTCAGAACACAACAGACACGAGTATGGCAATATGTAAATCAATGGATGTGTAACTGATGTGATTCTGCAATCTGTATATGGGGTAAAAATGGGAGCTCATAACCCACTTGAATCAAATTATGAAATATGACATATCAAGAACTATGTAATGTTTTGAACAGCCAACAATAAAAAATTTAAAAAAAGAGAGAAAAAAAAATCCTGTATTTTGTTTTCAGTATTTTTATTTTTCTTCAAATTTACTTTTGGCTGTAGGGGTTTTGTTAACAGTGCTAGGGACTGAACCCAGGGCCTTGTGCATGCAAGGCAAGTACTCTACCACTGAGCTACACCCAAAACCCTTTTAAATTTTGAAAGAGCATCTCATTAAGTTACTCAGGCTGGTCTCAAACTAGAGATGCTCTTGCCTCAGGCTCCCTGATAGCTGGAATTACAGGTATGCTCCACCACCTTAGCTAATGTTTTTTAGTTCTTTTTAATTGACACATGGTATTTGTACATATTTACGGGGTGCAATGTCATAATTTGCTACATGTATGTAATGTACAATGATCAAATTAAAACAACTATCATTTCTCCTCAAACATCTTTCATTTCTGTTTTAGGAAACTTTGGGCTCTTTTTTTTTCTAGTTACTTTTGAAATATACCCTTAATTGTTCTAGACTACTGCTGTCCTACTGTACTACAGAATGTCAGAACTAATTCCTTCTATTTTAGTACCTATTATGCAACCTCGCTCCCTCCTCCCTCCCCACTCCCCTTCTCAGTCTCTAGTGACCATCATTCCACAAAACCTCTGCATTTTGTTGAGTGGGAACATGAGATCATGGACCTGAGTCCTATTTCCATGTAGGTGTCTTTCTTAGGGGTGGTGATGAGCAGGAACAGAGGGGCCTGGAAGGTAGGGGGAACCTCACCCTTCTCCCCTCTCTCTGCTCCCATCAACCCCTTCACCAGTAGATCATGGCCATTGCCACCCACGACCATATCATTCCCTTCCCTATAGGGAGAAGTACACCTCCCCCTTTAATTCCTTAACTTCATAAACATGCCCTCATACAAATTCATAGATGCCAACATTCGCACATTATAGGCATCTTGAAAAGTAAGAACAAAACACCAACTTCAGGATCACCCAGGTGCTGAATTCCACCTGGGTGCAGGCAGGTGGGTGTATGGCTGGCTGGGAAGTTCTCCAAGCTCTGGACCTCCTTAGCCATCTCCAACTGTGGGACCGTCACTCTGAGAATAAGGAGAGATCCCAGCCAGGCCCTCTCCTGTTGTGACAGACACTAGGGGTCCCTCCTGAAGTCAAGCCTCACAGTCTCTCTTGCCAGCACACCACTGGAGTTGGGACCATTCCATGTTCTTACAGAAGAAACCCCAGATCTTTTTGGAACAAGAGAAAAAGAAAAGGAAGATATAAAGGACATTCTCCACATACTTTCAGAATATTCAAATTGTGATTTGTTCTAAAAGTTGGGGACTGCCAAAACAAAATACAAAAAATACTGAGCAAATATGTAAGTGGCTTTTGTACTTACTAATTTGGCAAACTAAAAAAAAAAAAAACTCAATTATGAATTATCAAACTCTAAATAGAATATATATACACTCTTTTAGTTTAGAAACAATACAGAATTGGGCTGGGGACATGTGGGTATAGCTAAGTGGTAGAACACCTGCCTAGCATGCCTGAGGCCTTGGCTTCCAACCCCTGAACTATAATTAAAAAAAAGAAACAGTATTCAGGTATTTCCTAGGGAAAAACACATGGAAAACAAAATATTTGGTGTGAAACTCCTCCCTAAATTCCTTTACTTCTTGGTACACAAGATTCTTATGTTCCTGATTCCACCAATGCCACTTCCAAGGACAGGCTCAAGGTATTCTCAGTGCCAAGTAAGGCACAAGAAAAATATGCCTCTCTCCATTGTAGAACCAAACTATAACACATGGAAAAAAAGCAGCATGGAGGAAATGGCAGGTACCCAAGGGCACTGGCCATCTCAAGTGGATAGGCAAAGGT